TGGATTCCTAGTTTGAAACTGTCTGGACAATAACGAATATGCTCCTAGGGAACAACATAAACCAAGCGCCAGCCCAATTCTGTCTTACGATCTGTGCTAGATATGTGCCTATGAAAGCATTCACGTAATGCTGGAGATGTCACGAAACCTCGCAAGACTAACTTTCTCTTTACTAGGGAAGAACCGAAATGAATTAACATAGAATAAGCCTTCGACGAGTTTGCCGAATTGTTGATTATAGCTGTGTATATATTTAGGGGTATTGATCCGGTGCCCAGCAAATTCGGACACGATCTTTATGGACTGAAAACAAATAAACAGAGCAGATTCACTCGTTTAATGCGAATAGTGGGATCTAATTCACTAACCATAATGTGATGGCTTCTTGCGTATATGAACTTGTGCGTTCGGTTACTTATTTGTACAATAAAGGTTCGTTGGTTTGTTTATCTAAACTGGTTGCGAAGTTTCTTTTGGACTGTTCGATCTCGTCTTCACTGAATAAAATGATAAATCCCTATATCAACAAAACCGTCGCAATAGTCGTTTCCCGTTCGCTGACTTGTGATCAGATCGTGTGCTTTGCTAGCTTTATGCTCATCAGCCGAAAACTATGGAAAGAGGCCCTTGGCTTGCTTGTGTTTATTAAGGCAAATGATGGATGAAAGAAGGCCAGATCTGCTCGGAATGGGACTGAACATGGAGTTATGAAAACACCTGACCAACGGGTGCCGGTCACATTATACTTCCTGGTTGTCGAACTTGTGACTAATTGAGTAAAGGCTAGCTAGATACGATGAGTATCTTGAACAGTGGCGTTTGAGCATTACCTAAATTTTCGCGAGTATTTTTTCCCCGCACATCCTGTATCATCATCATCATCATCTATACTGTGTGCCCATCTTTTCGTCCGGTTGGCTAGGATTGCATGTGGTCCGCCAAGAAGCCTCTCTGATTCGTCCAGGGATCCCACTTGAGCATTGAAGTCCCCGGCAACTACTATGACGCCCGTTGATTGAGCACTTTGGAGTAGCTGAGAGAGATCCTGGTAGAATTCATCCTTGATTTCAGGTATACTGCAATCGGTCGGTGCATACGCCGCTACGACGAATAAGCATCGATGCTTCGTTCTGTAGCTGTTGACTCGAACTGAACCGTTGAGACATACAGTGCACAATCGGCTACTGACTGGAATCCAGTCAAGAAGCGAGCGCTCAGCCTTGGCACTTAGCGCAATCCCGACACCAACAACACCGCGAGCTTCGAATGCCGAATCGCCTGACACACGAAGGGTGAGGTTGAGGTTGGTTCAGGACAACGCAAAGAGATAATGGAAGTAGGGTCTTGTATGCGTGTTTCGGAGACACAACATACATCTACACTGAAAGTTTCCAGTGTTTTAGCCAGGGCAGCATTTTGGCCAATCTGATAGAGCGTGCGGACATTGAACGCGGTCAAGTGAAAAGGGGATTTTGGCTTTAAAAACCCTATAGCTTCTGAATCTCTGGCCTTGATGGTAAAACGCTGAGTGATATTCGATGAGTGGCGTAAACAGGAGGCATCTGGGATTAATCGAGGTTGAGAAGAAGAACTGGTCAGAAGGGAAGGATCGTTTTCCAAATGGGTGCACAAGACTTTAGGGCACGGCATAGGCGGTCATGTTATCCAACATCTCGTCCAGTTTGTTCTTCGCTTCAAGTTTGAGTCCATGCGTCCATTGACCTTGGGTTTCAGTGCGGTGATTTTCAATCCTATGTTATGCCGACCTTTGTTGGAAGGTTGGGTGAAGTACCAACGTGAAGATAGCAATTCAAGTAGACTAGGATTGCAAGGAATATGAGTAGATGAAGGAGCACGACAGTATCTCCCGCGATTGGTTACGCTGATCCTTAGGCCTTCAATCGG